CAATGAGGTGATGATCAGGGAGTGCAATGTAATAGTGGGAATAGGAGCATCGGGGCCAACCTGTAAGACAGAACTGACGAAGTGGCGGTTCAATAACCAATGGATGCCGGAGAGGTGCTTGTTCGACCATTCGGGCCCACCATCTTCGAAGGTATGACTCGGGCGCTGGTAGGATTTCGCAGTTGACGAATGAGCACAGGGAGGGATGGGATGTAAGGGTTTGTGGGAGATATCGTGGCACGGAGGTTGCGGATGTAGCAGTGATGACAGGATCTGGAAAGGCATTTTACTTAGGTACGTTGGTGTTTGTATTTGTTTAAATTTGTAGGGGATGGGTATTTCCGGTAGATGCTGTAGAGATCACTCTTGACTTTAATAGCTGCTTTCAGACTTTCAAATGTTCTGAAGTTTTAGGAAGCGCAAAACGAAGATGATATGTGTTTAGATTGCTAATTGAAGCCATGAGGCATTCGCCCATTGCGGATAATTCTCTAAAACAATCACAGGTTCTGTTCGAAAAGTATTGACATTTCCAGAACCTTCAAACCTTTTGGCACACACTTCCTTTTTTCTGCTCCATTTTTCATCAATATAACAAAGGTGGGGGGTGTCAACATAACGAAACATTAATTAAACGAACCATAAAGAAAGTAGAAAGGAAAAGGACATATGGAAACGAGTTAAGAGTAACTCTCCACCACTGTAACTAGATACTATATACAGTCAGAAAGTGCAACAACTAGGCACAAAACTGACAGAGTACTGATGACCCACCCAAGTTGGGTGGTGTGCTGCTTTGCTGCTTCGAATTGTAGTTAGACCACTTTTTCAGATCGCCTACTGGTCTCGTCATCGTCCAGTGACAATCGACATTCTTTGTTCCGTTGGGACTGTAGCTTGTGCTCGTTTTCGTTGCGCTTGCCTTCCCCTCTTTGGTCTTTCCATAACCTTGAACCTTCCAAGTTGGAAGGCTGTCGGTTAGCGCTACGGAGATGTGTTGAAGCTAGGTGTCAGGACGTTGAATGTCTCAGTACTCTGTCAGTTTTGTGCCTAGTTGTAGCACTTTCTGACTGTATATATGTTGGACTCAGTAGAGCGTCCAGCCCCTATATGATGTCCAACCCCTATATAGAGTCCATTGGTCCAAAATCCACTGTACAGAGTCCAAACTTGGAATCAACTGTGAGCTCAAAGTTTACATGAACATCACTCCCTGTATAGAGTCCAGCCATTTGGCTTCACCCCTATATAGTGTCCATTGGTCCAAAATCAACTGTACGGAGTCCAAACTTTGAAATCAACTATAAAGAGTCTTTATGTGGACAACACTTCCTGTATAAAGTCCAGCCAATTAGGCATCCCCTATCCAGAGTTCGAAATTAGACATAGGATCTGCTGTAAGCAGTGAATATTAACCAGAAAACGGCCTCTCCCTTTAATCCTTTACATCATTCACTTCTCAAGATAAAAAAATAAGTATTGAGGCGCCACTGCAGCCACTTCATTACATGAAAAACCCTACAAACACCATCCTCAAATCAAGTGGTCTCTTCCCAGACGCTGTAAATTACAATATCTCAATCATGTAGTGTTGCCAAATTATTGTGCACGCACACACACACACATGCACACACCCACACAACGCCAAGAAAATACCTAGAAAAAAACCAAGAATTGAAAGAGAATAATGGAGAGCCAAGGGTTAAATATTTGTTTTCAAATTATTGTGTGTGCGCGCGCGCGCACGCACACACACACACACACACACACACACAAACTTATACAACGCCAAGAAAACACCAAGAAAAGAGTAGAGACACAATACACATGCAACTCCAACAGCCATGGAAACGTCCACCCATTTACACGTCAAGTCAAGAGGGATAACAAATAATTATACGAAACGAATGCATACGTGGGCGGATGCGCGCACGTTTACATACATAAACATGTAGTAGTGTAAGAGAGTATCATAGTGCAGTAGTCAGCATAATACTAGCACATGCTGAGAGTGCAATAGCAAGCTTCACCATTGCTCATGGCCATGCAAATGTTCAGCAGCACTCAGTTCCGCAAGCTTCTGAAGATCAGCACACCTGCAACAAATAGATAGCACAAGGATACGCTTATTACCGTAATGATGCATGGGAGCACACAACTACCAAGTTCTCAACGAATGTGATGCTCAATGAAAATCGATCCACTCAAAGACCTGTGAACAGGTGAAGGTGGGGACAATAATCTATTAGTAATATGAGGCATAAGATCGTTTGTGCACACTCAAGACGCACAGACACACCACCATACATGTAGTGTACACAGTGTTTCACTTCACTGCAACTAAATTCAAGTGAAATGAGATGATTTGAACAATCTGTACAGCGTTGCCGTCAGTCAGTCTTCCCCAAGATGGAAATGCAATGATTTGTTGTCACGAGGCAGTTTCACTGACACAGTGTCATGTTTGTGACATCAAAACGGTTACTTCATGGAATACGAGTACATGTATTAGCTTGAGAAGCTTTTTCTTGTCATCGGCATACAAGAAATCCTCCTCCTACTAGTACTACTACTAGTACACTGGAACTGTGTTTGTGGATCCCATTGTATTTGACATCATACTAGAGCCTTGTAGAGGAAGAGTGTCGTGGAGTTCACATAATTATCACAGGGATAAAAATACATTTCTCATGAAATATAATAATAATTGATGATAGCTAGACGATCGTACACGATTGATGCAAAGTCCTTGCAGTCCTTGAGGACTATTACGAAGCGGTTGATTACTTTTAGGGCATTCATTCAAGCAACATCAAACAAACGCGATACGCTCCTTGAAAAATGGAAAAAAAAATTCAAGCATATTACGACAGGACAGCAGACCAATCGAAACGAGTAAAAGCTTCCTTACCTCAGTCATCGTCCTGCCATGTAGTTGGACAGCCTTTTGACACGGTGGTACAGGCAGCTCTTGTCCAGTCAAACAGGGGTATCCTTGTGGCGTCGAACGAAAGAGAGTGTCAGTGTATCTGACTCGTCAGATTTGAACTATGCTGAACTTTTCTCGTTCTCCGCTTTCTGCTTTCATCCCTCGCTCTGATGAAACCGTTCATACGTCTTACTGGCAGCAATGGCCAGCCAAACAGGGGATCCTTGTGGCGTCGAACGAAAGAGAGTGTCGGTGTACCTGACTCGTCAGATTTGAACTGTGCTGAACTTTTCTCGTTCTGCAATTTCTGCTTTCATCCCGGGCACTGATCAAACGTCTTCCGAGAACCACAAGACGCTTTCCAGATTTGATTTTGAACGTCTCCTTATCCTCCTTGGTTACCTCGAGACAGATTACTGTCAGCAACTGCACAGCAGAACTGGCAGCCATGGCTGAAGTGAAGAAAGGAATGCGCTGCCACGAGGCAAGCAAAACTGAAAAGGTGTTTGTTCTCTTTTGGGCACAACACACAGGACGGCGTGACTGGATAAACTGGACTCCTGGACCGTGAATAGGGGACTTGTAGAAAAAGTGTACTCCTTATAGGGGATTGCGCGGCAGGATGAAGCTGATCAAAACTGAGTGGACTCCTGGACTCTGTATAGTGGATTTTGGACCAATGGACTCTATATAGGGTGCTGGACATCATATAGTGCATGGACTCTATACTGAGTCCTACATATAGTATCTAGTTACAGTGGTGGAGAGTTACTCTTAACTCGTTTCCATATGTCCTTTTCCTTTCTACTTTTATTATTGGCTCAATACCCGAGTTTCAAACCATAAAGAAGACCTAGGATTTTTGTACCCTTTCTAACGCCATGATCCGCCAGACTTTTTTATTTATTTATTTTTTTACTATTATTCACAAACCCAACTCGTAAAATAAATAATTATGAGGACAAAAACAAACAGCTACTGAGCAGGGGCTGCACTGGGCAGCAGTGATGGTGAGGTACCAGGGGCTCCATCGACCAAAGATCTCGGCTTCAATGCCACAAGCACGCACCAAGAAAAAGAAACAGAAATGTAAAGCAAAGCTAGATCTAGCTATGGGGAAGTAGAATGGGTGAAAGTACCGATAGGTGTTTAGAAAAATAAAAACAAGACGAAAAGAGATTGTTTATTATCAGTGTGTGGACTGACGTACAATGTACATGTCAACTTCATCAACCAAAACTTATGAACTTTTTTAATAGATCTGATACGAAACTCGCACAAAGAAGTGTAAAGAAAACAAGCTAAAAAACAGAAAAATAATAAGGCACCCATTTTGATCATCCAGGGGATGGCCCACGCCTGGTAAAAGAATAAACAGAGAAAAGAAAAGAATCATAACAAGTTTTTCCATGTATGCAAAACACAGCTGAGCACTCTGAGCAAGGCCAGGTACGCGGATTAGCGGGTCCGGCAAGCGAAAAATTACAGGGAATCTGTTGCCCAGTACCAGTTGCTGTCTCTCAGGTGTCGTTAGACCTTTGTCTTGAATGACTGAAAACGTGTTTCGTGTGGGCGCTGCGACAGCAGCCTGTCAGGAAGGGAGTTCCATGCGCCAATACAGCAGTACGAGAACGACCGATTCACGACGGATGGAGCTGAGACAGGGAGCGTGTCTACTATGAATCCCTGGGAAAGTTGCAGTTTAGGTATACTGTCATATTCAGTTTAAATGCAAATTCAAGCCAGTATATTTTTCATGCTTCGGCGGCCAGTTATTTGTCTGTATTGTCAAACAGTGCATCGTTAGAAATTGTGTTTTCTTAGCTTTGCAACAAACCTCTTGCTTGACGATAGAGGAAAAATGATGGAGACTATATTAACAGGGGTGTATGTGAACTGTGCAACCTAACCCAGTTGCATATGAATCATGTTGTTGTTAGGAGTCTAGATTATTTCTGAAAACAAGATCATGGTTCGGCCTTTTAGATAGACAATATCCTAGACTCGGTGTTTTGTGCACTACCCGGAACTATGCAAGAACAACATTGTCTTTGTGCTTTGTCGTTTGTAGATGGTTGGACAATAATCAGATCCAAACTTTAAGTGACGGTGTGTTCTCTGGTCTAACAAACCTCCGAAAACTGTGAGTATTATCAACTGCACCACTGAACGCAGAGAACAGTAATTATAAATAAGTGTGTATATAGAGTACTGCTGAATACGTGATGAACAAACCTCTAATATCTGGGAGTATTATTATCTGCAGCACTGATCGAAGGAAACAGTTGTAAACGCTGTGTGTGAAATGCTTTGTTATGAAGCCTCTGATTCTTGTAAACAAGAAGAAAGAAGGCTGAAGAGAACGGAATTCAACAAAGAAAGCAACAAGATCAACATTCAAAGACCTAGACGATCAACGGCTAATTATTCAATGAAGTATTACAGTACTGGATGCCAAGCACCGGCGAAGACACTAGCAACACAAAATTTATCAACACTAGGAACAACAACAACAACAACAACAACAACAACAACAACAACAGCAGCAGCAGCAGCAGCAACAGCAGCAGCAGCAGCAGCAGCAGCAGCAGCAGCAGCAGCAACAACAACAACAACAACAACAACAACAACAACAACAACAACAACAACAACAACAACAACAACAACAACAACAACAACTCCTGCAGAAGCTCAATGCAGCGGAGGAAGAATGGAAACTCTACACCGGACGTCGCAGACGCAGACGCCACCAGCTAGAGCAGACGCCCCCAGGCGCACAACAGCCACATGCCTCTAAAAACAAAAACAAAATAAGCTAGCTGACCAGAGTCCTACAGGATTCACCATGGACCACGCCTGAACTGGAATCATCATCAACACCAGGTCCCACCAGTGAAAAAAAAATTATGAAAAACGGAAATGAACAAAATAGCATCTCTTTCTTCTCCTTCAACGCTCGCAGTCTCTACCCCAAAATGGACGAACTGTCAGCAATAGCATCGTCAACAACGCCACCTTATGATGTCATTGCTGTCTCTGAAACATGGTGTACCCAGCACGACCCAGACTCCCTGTTTGCCCTCAGTGGATACACACTACATCGTGCAGACCGCCCAGACCGCCAAGGTGGAGGAGTGATTCTCTACGGGAACGATACTATACCTCATGAACTCGTCCCTACAACAACCCCAGACAGCTTTGACCTATTATCGCTGAAACTGTCAGCCAACGACAGCACCATCAACACAACATGCGTCTACCGACCACCCCGTTGCGACCATCGGCTATTCTGCCAGCACCTTGAGGAACTGATACGAGCCATACCAACAACGCAAAAGATTATCCTCGGTGATTTTAATGCAAAAAACGCCGCTTGGTGCCACTCTGACACGACAGATGCTGTTGGCGAGGATCTAGCAGTGCTGTTCCAAACTTACTCTCTACACCAACATGTCACATTCCCCACTCTTGTGCAGAATGGGCACCCTAAATCCTGCCTAGATCTCGTCGTCACGGATGTAGACAGCGACTATGTCCTTATCTCTAGTCTCCCGCAGATCGGCAACTCGGACCACCTATCCATCAGGGGTTTAATCAAGCCAGTCGCTGCACCCCCTCGAGCCGTACCACCTCCCACCCATAACACCACCCATTGGAAATGGTCAAACCCAAGCATCAGCAGTCTGAAAGCCGAAATTGAACGCACACAACTGCTACCGGAAGGTGACACCCTGAACACTACCAACATAGACAACCTGTGGCACTCATGGAAGGACAAAGTCCTCACTTGCGCCCGCAAACACTGTGCAGTACCTCACTCCCCGAGGCATACTAGCCACCCCGCAAAGCCATGGCTGAACCCAGAGCTCACTAACGCCATCAGAGAAAAACACCGGCTCTACCGTGCCTACTTGCGCACCCGGACGCCCTGCAACTGGACAGCATACACCACCCAGCGCAACAAAGTTACTCACCTTCTCCGAATCGCTAAGTCTACTTCCTCCGTTAACAAAAACTTCGTGATGGATTTTGATGGATATCAAAACGCTTAGAACAGGTCAAGAACAGTTTGTATCGACTGCTAATCACCGGACGAAGCTAGTTCATCCGGTGTACAGTGTCTTTACAAGAGAAACTGTTGGCGGAATGAGCAGAGGGTTCAGTTTGCGTCGCTTTCGCTCGACTCATTTTTCACCTGCGTCGCTGTCGTCATCTGCTGCACGCTACTCGTCATCTCTCTGAAGTCGTTGTTCAGCTCGTTTCAGCCTTGCCTTGGCTTCTTCGATCACACTGCGCTGACCTTGATGTGGCCGTCGTTCAAGTGAGTTGGCTTTCAAGCTGCGTGATCCGCCGCGATGGTGATTACTCGTTTCCACCAGGGAGTCGTGAAAAATATTTTTACGACTCCCTGGTTTCATCTTCGTTCTCCAGAACTCCGCGAAACGAGGAGTAAAGGCAGAGCCAAACTGATTCCATTTTCTCTAATGGATAACCCTGCCAGCACTGAACGGCAGCGGCCAGCAAGACCAGTCGACTTTCTTTAGCCATGAGACTCGTATCGGACTGCAGACTTCTGAAAGAATGCATGGTCATCAGCATTCGAATCTGGGTTTTGCGCAGGTTGAACAAGACCTTGAGTTCAGAATTATTTTCATTGAGCCGTGCGATCGGAGCAGGTCCTTGTTCACTCGCTCATTGTGTGGGCTCGCTGCTCCGTTTTATCACTCTCTACCGCTCTCCAACTCACTTAGTGCTAAAGTGGTAGAGAGGCCCCTCGGAGAAGTGGAATTTCAGTTTCGCTCTCCATGACTGTCATCACCTATGTTTCCACAGCGCAACCATCGATTCCGCTCGGCTTGTTGTCAAAGGTCGCTTTCCTTGCATCGTACCTCTTTCATGGCATGCCAGGGAAGGCCAAGAAAGTGATTGCGACTCATTTCACGGCAGTTTGTGCCCAAATCAGCCCCTCAAAAATCCATCACGAAGTTTTTGTTAACGGAGGAAGTACATATGTCAGTAATGGCACTGGGACGAGCCACTCCACACCAAACCTACACAAACTGATGCGCGGCCTCCAGTCCTCACAACGACCTACTCTGCCAGACATGCTCTCCCAGGGCCAGACTCTCTCAACCCCCGCTGAAAAAGCAACCGCCCTGAACGCTTTCTTCATCTCGCAGAGCCAACAGTCAGTCACAGGATGCCACGAGGAACTTCCCTCCATTCATCCCCCCACACCCAATACACCTGGCCTCACTACACTTGAAACAACAGCCCAAGAGGTCTCAAAGTTACTGTCTAACCTGGACCCGTCAAAGAGCCCGGGCTGTGATGGCATACCAACCCGCCTACTGAAAGAGGCAGCCAGTTCACTTGCGCCGTCCCTAGCAACCCTTTTTAAAATCTCCTTCGAACGTTGCACTATCCCGCAAGAGTGGAGGGACGCAACAGTCACCCCCATCCACAAGAAGGGCAGCAAAACCGAGCCCTCCAACTATCGACCGATATCGCTACTCAGCGTGACGTCGAAAGTACAAGAGAGGATAGTTGCTGACCGCATCTCAAAGCACATCCAACCTCACCTCCCCAACGGCCAATCAGGCTTTCGGCCAAACGATGGCACCACACAGCAGCTATCTCGGTTAATCCATCAGATCACCGAGAAAAGAGACGCCGGGCAAACAGTAATTGCTTGCTTCTTCGACCTCTCTAAGGCGTTTGACCGGGTGTGGCACCAAGGACTGCTTGCAAAATTGGCCCACCTCGGACTCGATGGCAAATGCCTCCAGTGGCTTGCCTCCTATCTCACCAATAGACGACAACGTGTGCAAGTGGAGAGCAGCAAATCAACATGGCTAAACATTCCAGCGGGGGTCCCCCAAGGCTCTGTCTTGGGGCCGCTTTTGTTCACGACCTACACAGTTGATCTGCCAACCGCCTGCATTAATGCCAACACTGAGTGCAGCCAGTTTGCCGACAACACTGCCATCATTGCCGCTCACGAGAATTTTCTAGCTGCAGAAGAGCACCTACAGTCAGCTGTGACAACCGCGGCACAGTGGCTGAAGGATTGGCATCTCCTGGTCAACGAAAGTAAGACCACTGTCATCCACTTTCACCACACCAACCGGCGACCTCCCAGACCACCATCAATCACACTTAACGATACCAACCTCACTGTGGCCTCAAGGCATCGCCACCTTGGCCTCCTCATACATCAGAATCTATGCTGGAACTCGCATGTTGACTACATCATCACTAAAGCGACCAGGAAGATGTTCCTTCTCCTGCGACTACGCAATTCCTTAAACACTTCTGCTCTCTCCTCCATCTATCTAACCTACATCCGCCCTATTCTTGAGTATGCTTGCACTGTCCTCTCACCCCTCCCCGCAACCCTGAACGACCGGCTTGAGCGCATCCAACGGCGCGCTGCTCGCCTCTGTTTGCATCTCCCCCTCTTTGAACACAGAACCCACTCCGTGCTGCTGCACCGACTCAAATGGCCATCACTCAGCAGCCGCCGTACCCTCTCCCATATCCTTCTTGCACATAGCCTGCATCATAGATATGCACCACCACACCTTCTTGCAATTCACCTACCCCGAATACAACCCATTCGCACGCTCAGGTTCCCCCGAACCTTTGAGCTACCCACAACACGTACAAACCGGCTAAGAGACTCCCCCATCCATGCTTCTCTTGATCTCTTTAATAGCATCCCACCCAGCATCCGGCAAATCAACCCCAGACGAGATTTCAAAGCAAACATCCTACCACTTGTCATCTCTTCCGTATGTACTTGCTCACATTGCTCAGCACATCTATAGCTCCATTGCGCCCAGCCTACGTGATTAACTCCCAATTAGTATTGCCATCGCTACTGACTCAGCAAGCAGCTAAACTTTGATCTCTCTGTATCTGATCCCCGTGCCTGTAATTATTTTTCTCAAAAAAACAACAACAACCACAACAACAACAGCAACAATGGTAACAATTTACCATCATGATCAAAGGAGGAGTCAACGAAAAGAGGTTAAGCAACCTGATGCGAGCCTGGGACCGATCGGTGTTGATGAGGAGAATGACACGGAGGACGGCACTGAGGACGAGTTGGAAGATGAGACGGAGGATGAGTTGCGG